CCCGGGGGTGACTCGTTATTGAGAAACCGGCCCTTAAACCAAAACGCTGTCAAAACAGTTCGATTACGATTCTGAAAAAACGAAAATGAATTTTATAACAATGATTCCGAACTAGTTCTGAGTGAAACCAAAACAAAGCTATTTCCGATGGATCATAGAGTTTTATGAAAACAGAGAACGTTCAGCTATTGGATTGTGTTATTATCGCTCTCGGAGTACTCCTTCAGAGATCTTTGACGTCATCGCCCAGACAGGAAGTGCTCGAGAGCAGTAAAGCCAAAAATAGTTGTATTCCTTGCACGAGTTTAGAACACTAGAGCGATAGTCGACCTCTATTTGAAAGGAAAAGATTCGCTGGCTTTGGTGCATGGAGAAACGTCACTTTAACGAATACTTATCCCTAAGGCTTCCTTAAAATGGTCGGTGTAAACGGCCATAAATGGTTTGAGTTCGGTCTTGAGTACTTCCTGTGCAACAAAAACTTTTCGAAAGGATAAGCGCGTAACGCCCCGGAGCACCTCCTAGGTGTGAAAGGAATACAACTCATGTTGCCCTATCTACCTTTCCCTGCCCTTTCGAAAGCAAGTGTTCATGCTCACATGAACTTAAAACTTTAGTTGAAGCGTTTCTTAACCCGGTTAAGTGACTCTAACTACCCGAGTAAGATTTATTTAGGTAGAATATAACCCAGGTTGTCGAATCGTGAATATATTTTTTACGTTATATTTAGGACCAAAAATGGTCGCGTTCCTGCTGGAAATACGTTATTAAGTATACTACTCTTTCCTGAGGCCAACTCCGACAAACCTGCGGGCATTTTCTGAGTAAGTTTACGCTACGAAAATGTACTGAATTCTTGAAAGAACTTTTTTCTATTTTGGTGTCATATCGAAGTCTTTTCGAAAAGAAGCTCTTTGTGACACTCCTTTTTTACTTATCGGAGGTTGGTTACACTGGCTGACTGATGGCCATCGAACTGTCATTCGCGATTTTATGGCCTCACAGCAATCACAAACCAGTCAGAGCGAATTTCATTGGTTGAAAACAATCAGAAACAGTCAGAAAACTAGTTTCAACCAATGAGGTTCACTCTGACTGGTTTGTGATTTCTCTGCGAACAGACCTTTTATAGCATTTCTATATTTGGCATGCAGTGTTACCAACCTAAACATATGAAATCAGGAAATATAAGAATAAAATTTCCAAGAAAAGTTTGTTTTTTTCAATTAAACAATACCAAAATAGAAAAAATAGTATAAAATATTCGTTTCATAAGACATTTCATCGCACTCGCCCTTTAGAAAACTCGCCTCCGGCTCGTTTTCTAATATAGGGCTCGTGCGATAAAATAACGTCTTATGAAACTTGTATTTTAATGTACTATTTTCTAACTGTAACGTATTTTTGGCACTTAATTAGGATTATACAAAATAGTTAATAAATTATCAAGACGACTGACAGCTAAAAATAACGAAATGAATCGACACGCATTATTTGAAAATGTTTATATAAATCATGCAACGTCGCGCGCCGTTGCCAAATATCTGAAATTGCCCTACTTTAAATGCGTTGAAAAGTACTTTTAGTTTTGTTCGATTGGCAGCAGAAATTTACTAAATGTGACGTCATCCTAAATATAGGGTAAAAAGCCTATAGTTGTATTTCTTTCACATCTAGGAGGAGCTCCGGAACAGCTCCAGGGCGTTACGCGCTTATTCCTTGCGAAAAGTGTTTGTTGCACCTGAGTGCTGAAGCCCGACTCAAACCATTTACTCGTTTCGTGTCGGTTCCAACTGCACTAAAGCTATATTTCAACGAAAGAAAATCGCAAATAATTGTTTTGGGATAGCTTTCATATAATTCGAATCTTTTATAGCTTTGGGCGGTTTCTTTTATTCACCGATGTATCCATCGATGACCACTCTATCTTTGTCTAGTTCATAGAAAATCGGTATGGCTGTCTCATAATGGTGGCAGCAAATGAATCCATCGAAGAATAAAAGAAAGCTCTCACTGTTCCAACCCAGGCAGGGAATCCTACATTTCACCATCAGGATTCTGTGCAAAACGTAAAATTTGTGTATAGAATCCGAAATTTGTAAGGACGATATTTTGGCGGGTGGGAACAGACCGTATAGAATCACAGATTGAGAGCGAAGTTCACAGGCGCTTCATTTCTTTTGGGATTGAATATTGGTAAGAATTGCTGAATAGGTATCATATATTAAAATAAAGTCCATATTTGAAAGAACAACAGACTTTGTTAGGTTTTCGCAGCAGAATGTTTTTTCCAGTCCTCGAAGAAAAATCCAAAATACATTAAAAAAGCAGTAGAAATAGATAGCATCTTATTTCATATTTTACTATGTTGCCCTATCTACTCTCTCTCGAAAGCAAGTGTAGGTTGAGCATGATGAACAGAAAAATTTTTGGAACAATAAGCACATCCCAAATTTTTCTGCTCCAAAACACAATCGAACGCCCACGCCTAGGAAGTACTCGAAGCAATGCGAACAGACTATCTATTGCTCGATCTATTGTTTTAAATCATCAAATTAGTGCAACAATCAAAGACTGCTCTGAAATTTCTTGCAATTAGTTCAAGTTGGTGCAGAGCAAACTTCATGAATCAGCTGTTTAACAAATTTTAATTCGTCCACCTATACTCCTACTCCCAGACCACATTACTGTTAAACGAATTCCGAATTGTTTATATTTAATATTTTGATTTTGAATTTAAATAATGGTAAAATAATCTACTAGCAAAAGCAAATCATGGTTTTAACGAAGGAACCAAAAAGAAATAAAACTAAAGATGTGTCATCAAAAAAAACAGAACTTGTTCCACAAACCCAATGCCGAATATGCCTTTTTCAATGTTCCGGCTTATCGTTAGATGCCCCATTAACTGGGGATGAAAGTTCCAAGACTTTAGTCTTTGAGGCCCTAGAAGTCGTCATCAAGGAAAAGGTAACCAGAGGGCCAAATTATCCAGACATAATTTGTGAGAACTGTTTCGGGTATTTAAAGATTTCTTATGTATTGATTACACAGTATCATTTGTCCAAAGTAAGGCTTTTGGAACAACTGGAGGGATATGGAGAAGAACTTACCACCAATGGTAATTGTAAGTGGACTTCTGTTTTAAATGTGACTCATTTGTATTACCTAAGTAAATGTAATTTTTAGCTAAGGATGAAGTAAAGAAATATTTGCCAAACAAAACAGCAACTAAGAATTTTGTCGAGATAGTAGTAGGCACAAAAAAATATAGTATTGAAGATTTAGTTATTGTTGAAGACAAAGATGAGAGAGACGAGTCAGGGGTCTATGAAGGTTTTCTACGAAACCTTGGTACTTCAGTTAGTGCCACTTTTGTTAAAAAAGGGCACTGCAAACCTAAAATTGATTTAGAGCCTTCATCTCTTACTCTCGATATTAAAAAACTTGAAACAGGTTCAGCTTTGTTTGTATAAGAACAGTAAAACATATTTGATAACTTTTTTTTTCTTTCTAGAAAATCACTGTGATAATGAAGATGTCAGAGCTAGTCCTAAACCTGGAATTGATTTAGATGCTTCTTCTCTTGATATTGAAGAACTTGAACTAGGTTTAGTTTTGTTTGTATAATAAAACATGTTTGATAACTCTTTTTTTCTAGAATATTACTGTGATAATGAATATGTCGAGTTCATTCCTAAACCTAATATTGATTTAGAGGCTCCATCTCTTGATATTGAAGAACTTGAACAAGGTTCAGCTATTTCTTTGTATACTAAAACATGTTAGATAACTCTTTTTTTCTAGAATATCACTGTGATAATGAAGATGTCGAACTTACTCCCGAACCTAATATTGATTTAGAGGCTTCATCTCTTGATATTGAAGAACCTGAGCAAGGTTCAGCTATTTGTTTGTATACTAAAACATGTTTGATAACTCTTTTTTTCTAGAAAATCTCTCTGATAATGAAGATGTTGAACTCACTCCTAAACCTAAAAATGATTTAGAAGCTCCATCTCTTGATATTGAAGAACTTGAACAAGGTTCAGCTCTGTTTGTATACTAAAACATGTTTCATATCTTTTTTTTTTTCTATAGTTGTTGAACTCACTTCTGTAGGTGAAGATATAGTTTTGCCAAGTAGGGTCATAGAATATAAATGTCCTTATTGTTTGGAGATATTATCCACCAGTAGTAGATTAATGCAACACTTTACTGAATGTACCAAGAGAGTTTCAGCCTTAAGGAGAAGGGCAAATCCAAAAAAACAAAATCAATGCCGGATTTGTGGGGAAGTTTTTGCAGCCTTGGGTTCATACTATTATCATTGCAAAAAGCATGATGGTAAACAACATGGCTGTAAGATGTGTGACAAAAAGTTCTTTACAGCTTCTCAAGCTAGACGTCATTTGCAAATTCACAACAAAGAAAAAACTATAGAAATATGCCAAATTTGTGGCAAAGGATTTCATTACCGTAGTGGTTTATTTTATCATATGAAAATGCATAATAACACACGAAACCTACTTTGCAGTTATTGCCCCAAAACGTGAATATTGATTAAATTATCACTTAGTTTGTGTTAATATAATAACTTGTTTCAGGTTTTATACTCAAACTTCTTTAAAACGTCATGAACTGACTCATACTGGCGATAGACCTTTTTCCTGCCAGTATTGCTCAAAAAAGTTTCGTTCAAAAGATGAAAGAAAAAAGCATTATTTAGGCCACACAGGAGACCGTCCTTATTCTTGCAAATATTGCGAAATTGGCGCTCGAACTTTGTTTAATCTTAAACAACACATGACCACTCATCCTGGCGAATTCTTCTGTACGCGCTGCGATAAAACTTTTGCTGACAATGATATTTTACAGTAAGAATTTTTTTTATTTTTTGTTTCTTCTTTTGTAATTTAATTAGGTTTCATTTGAGACACAAACACAAAGAAGAGGAAGAAGATAATGTATCTGCAATAAATGGAGAAGGGACTAGTGAAATTTCTGATCAGTGGTTTGATGACCCTGATGAAATTGTGGTAGTTGAAATAATGAATATTGATTTAGAATAAGATCCAACCAATTTGTTTTGTTTTTTGTAATTAAATTACATCAAATCTGCAAACAATGGGTTAGCAGTATAATTACATTGATTATTTTAAACAGGCCTTCTTTTAATTAGGATATGAGCTAATAAAACGAGCAGGTACTTGTGAGATGTTTAATGTCTGGATGCCAAAAGACATAAAATTGCAAATTGGCCATCTTATTTTGCACCTTACATTTATCATACATTATTTAATCACATCGATGATTTCTGTAGAAATTTTTACATATTCTAAAATGGTTTTAAGTTCAAATTTAAAACATAATGAACCCCATTGAAGGAGAAACAAATAATCTTGGAATTATTTTCCACGTCAATGAAGATCATTATAAAAAAACACATTGGCAGTGGAATATTTCTCCTACTAATTATTAACGCCTATTTGAAAAAATAATTAATATGAACCCATAATTATGTTAATATTGTAATTATTATTATCTTAAAATAATAGAGTTTATTTTGATAATAAAACTTTTAAAAAGTACAAATCTTTTGTAATAATTTACTCTACCAAAAATGTTAAAATTGAAAAATGCCATTTTAGAATATTTCTCCAAATCTAAATAAAATAACAAAAAATGGTTGTTTGTTAAACTATCAATAGATTTAATTTATCTTCATTCGTGGATGGCATTACCTTCGTACTTTTAAAAGTTCAATTGGTTACCTAAATGTCAGTAATTCCGAGTTTTCCTTATAAAAAGTGAAAAAAAAAAAGAACAAAGAAATCTATAGAGTGGAGCGAAAGTCTTAAAAAACTTTTACACCCACTTGTCTAATATTGGTGCGAATAGAAAAACGCGGAATTACTTTTGCTTCTACTACTTTCAGTACCTACATAGGAAAACGTATTTTTTAATTTGATTTGGCTTGATACAATCTTTGTATATTTTCCATGAGTTATATCACGTCTATTTGCTGAGTCCTCATTTAAAATGCTAGTTCTGCTTTTTAGCTTATTATAAATATATATATTGCAACGTGTCAAGAATCCTGTACAGAATTGCAAAGATTCGAGATTTCACGTTGATGTTCGGGAACAAGGTGGATCGCGGTCCTTCTGGAATTTACAGGAATAAATTACGGCTATACAGTGTGATTTTTTAAGTGTGCAACATATGGGGATTTTTTTTAGTAATAGCACAACTGAAATACAAGCAAGGCCAAAAGTTGGTGCATGTCTGATAATCATATAAGGTGCACTTAGAATGGTTGCAAGTCAAACAGCATACAGGGTAGCTCAAAGAATATCAAAGCTGTACTGTAAAGTACCCTTATTTTAGAAAATTCAGGAAAATGTTATAGAGAAAAGTTGTTTGGAATTAAAAGTTATGCCTAAATACCAAAACATAGCCTCCTAAGATTTTTTTTTATTTTCTTTCGAAAAAAATCAATAATTTCTATATTTTTTTTATTTTTTATTTCCGCCCTTAATACTTTCAAAAATTAATTAAAATCAAATCAATTTTACATAACTTTGTTCAAATTCAAGCATATTTGTAAAATTAACTTAGATTTTTAATTTTTTATGGAATCACAAAATTCATGTTTGTTGCAATGATATTTAACACAACTTTAAAATGTCGCAATTTTTTTTTTTTTAACAAGTTAAAACATTAGAAATGATAATAGCCATATTAAAAAAACTTCCCTTAAAGTGCAAAAGTTTTATTTTATTTAAATAAATATTAGTAGAATTTTGATATTTTTTGAGCCACCCTATATGCTGTTTGACTTGCAACCATTCTAAAGGCCCTCGTAAAGGCCGTATCAGACGTGCCGTTGCCGATTCCATTAGCCGTTGCCGTTGCCGTCACGGTTGCAATCACACTTGACACCGTTCCGTTACCGATTACTGGTCACTTGAAATGTTTATAACGTCAAAATGTCGGTGGTGGCTAAAATATTCAAAGTACAGCGCCGAACGTCGTCGGAAAGTTTCTTCTGCGTTGCTGTGCTATATGATTATACTGGAAGAAGAGGAAAGAGAAAGATCCAAACAAAATCGGTTTGGGTGCAGTATCAGAAGCGATAAATTACAAAACTAAAAAAGTGACGTTTAGACACATGACACAAGCTGTTCATAAAGCGCTTTCATTGGCTACGGTTCAGAACGGCCTCGTAAAATTTAGACTCCAACCTAAACATACAACGGCAATCGCAACCAGAAGCAGGTACATTTTGATTGGTTGAATTCCCAATCGTAATCGGCAACGGCACGCAGTGGCGGTCCATAGATGATTTTCTGGGGGGGGGGGTAATGGATGACGGGAAAATCATTAAGTGTCAAATGGCTTCCTGCCGGAGGCGAAATTTTTTTAAGGGTGCCACGTCCAAATTTGCACCTGAAAATCGTCTGAAACACACCTCAAGCAAAAATGTATCCCGATGCCGGCAAAATAGTTATACAGGATGTCCACTTAGTAGACGATATCTCCTTTCAGGGTAATGCAAGAAAAAAAAATTAAATTACAAAGTTGTTTGATACTCTAAGATCCATTAGTAGTTTAAAATATTTTTGAATATACACAGGGTGTTCCGTAAATGAGGTATGTGACAGACCTTTGTTATTTTAAATGGAACACCTTACATTTTAGAACATTAATGGATTGTTCTAACAATCCTATATACTTTTTCTTAGGAACTACCTATACCTATATATAACTACCTATACTATACCTATACTAATGGATCAATTATGTGCACATCTGTGTGCAAATCTATAAATTTCTATAAAAACTCGACCCTTTTTGAAATATTTGAAACTTTTTCAAAAAATCGAAGTTCGCACTAACCCAAAAAGTGGGACACTCGACTGACAGGTCTTGTAATTTTGCATAAATCAGTCTATTTTGCGTAAATCAGTCTTTTCTTTTCAATGGATTTTTTGTCAAATATGACAATTCCTGTCATTGTCTTAGGTATAGCTGGGTGAACCCGTTTTACAATAGGAAAAAACGGGTGTCCCACTTTCTGACTCTGTGCTCATGACTGATAATTTATTGCGTAATATTGATCATGAATTTATTTACTGTATTGAAATCAAGCCAATAATCGGATTGAAATTTGAACCCATCACAAGTTACGAACGCCTAGGCTGTGACGTCATACCGGCTTTGGAAGTACAGTTTTAACACGTGCAAGAATTTTTCAAAACAAATGTCCACGATCTCATTAGAGCGAATGGCAACCACTCAAAGTATAGGGCACGGTTCACTGAGGACTGAACGAACGGGAGGCTGGCATTTCGGCGTTTAGCCGGTGTGACGCTACAAGTGTTCGCATAATTTATCTGCATAAAAAAACATTCAGATTTCATGTATTCGAATGCAGGAAAATTTCTACATTCAAGTACTTTTTGAAATATTTGAAACTTTAAAAAAAAATCGCAGTTTGCATGTGTCAGTGTCAATGCATGTATCAGCAAAAACCAACACATTTCATTCATTTGAGATCCTTAAGCTAAATCTTTTGCAGGCTGTTAGTGTATACTTACATTTACTTCATGGTCCTATGAAAATCTGATAACATTCTATAGGGTGTTCGCAATACTGTAACTGTACACAAAACCAGATATTTCAAACAACCATAGCTTTTTTTTCAAATGAAATACCTTTTATTTCACTGTATAGTAGTAGGTACAGTTGCGATCAAAAAAAAGTAGTACAAAAATTATTAGCTCCAATTTGAGCTCCCGGTGTAACATAAAAAAATTTGACAGGCAATGACATATTCTAGGTTAAAAACGGGTGGAAAAATGTCAAAATAATGTCATCTAAAGCTTTCTAGGTTAAAAACTTGTCGAAAAATGCCAAAAATATGTAATTTTTGGTTATGAATTAAATTAATGTATAATAGACCAGGAAATTTTGGAGATTTTCCTTGTACTACTTTTTTTTAATCGCAACTGTACGTCGATACTGGTGAGCCTATCAATTTATACAATGCCTTCTATGCTTTACTTTATAGAACTTGTCTTTTGTTGAAATTTTATTCTTAAGTGTTCAAAAAAAATCTTTGTCTGGGGGGGGTAATTACCCCCTCTACCCCCCCCTTTAAACCGCCCTTGACGGCACGTCTGATACGGCTTTTAGTGCACCTAATATGATTTTCAGACATGCACCAACTTTTGGCCTTGTTTGTATTTTGATTGTGCTATTACTAAAAAAATCCCATATGTTGCACACTTAAGTAATGACACTGTATATAAGGACGGGTTTTAGCTTGTAAGTTTAAGTTAAAGTTTGACTGTGATACGAGTTAAATAGTGCTTATTGTTGTAAAGAGTTCTTATTGTTGTAAAGAGTTTAATTGTTGAGTTAGTTATTAAAGTAATTAGTGTCAGAGTGTATTGTTACGTGAAATAAATTATTGCTGTGTTAATTGGACTTTGATTTTTGAAATAAACGAAACGAACCCAAGATTTCTGTCAGACAACACAAAGCCGACAGTATTTTCCTCGGATAGTTATTTAGTTGAAATTAATTATAATTATTGTAACTTGCTTTTTCTAGTAGATAATAATTTCGGATTGTTAATAAAGTCATTTTTTAAAATACGAACCCTCGGTTTCTGACTTGTTAACTCATGGAAATTGTCAATCAAACAATTTTTTTTCTTAAACATGTAATGAAAGTAGAAAACACCTTTTCAATTTTTTTTAAAAGAATCTCGTACATTACTTATTTATTTTTGCAACATTTTCTGTTTTGTTTCTAGGTAGGTATCGTCATTTTATAATTTAATATAATATTGTTTCTAAAAAGCTATGCTTTCACTTTTTTATCTTTTTTTTTTTAAATAATTTATTTCTGTGTTTTTTTAAATTTTACAATTTATTTTTCCTTAATGGGTAATAAAAGGGAAACTGAAATGTTTGCAAGTCGCAGGAAAATCTTTTAAGGCTTCCAAAAGCAATGTTACATTTTTTGCTTGTACTTTTGTGTTTTTTTTTTTGCATATGTTTTGTGAGAAAATGTAACACTACTTAATTTTGAGGAGCCTTAATTTTACTCAAACGAGGTACAGATTAGTTATTCTAACACAAAGCCTTGCTAAATCCGAAAAACAAAATCAATTTTTATCTAAGTACTCTATTAGAAACGAATAAGAAAACTATTTATTATTATTATAAAAATTGACAATGTTTTTCATTTCGAAAAAACATTCATATCCTAACTACACATGTCTAACATGAAAATGCAAACATTCAAGTTTTAGTTAATCTTTTTTTTTAACGTGGCTCAAAAAAATTATTAAAAAGTAACTTCCAACTGACTAGTCTACAAAAATAAGGTCTATTATAAATAGCGAATACAAAACAATCATTAGAATTTTATTTACAGTTTCAAAATTTTGAAAGTAATTATTTTTCAACATTGTTCTCTATTATCAGAACACAGTTAAATATATTTACTTATCACAAAGGTGGTACTGAGGTCGGAAAAAAAAAACATAACGGAACCGCAATGACAACATTAATGGGAATTTGTAAGTTGAAATTTGTTCCAACAAAGACTATATCTGACTAGAATACAATTATTTGTATCTATTTTTGAAATTCCCATTAAACGTTGGCAAATGGAATGTCTTTTTTTTTAAATGTTCAACAGCTTATAGAAAATAATACAGGATAAATAAATTATAGTCAATATATTTTTTCACATTTTAAATGTACTAAAAAGATGTTTACTTATCGAACATAAACTGAAAATATTATTGGGGCACCACATTTAAAACTATGAGGTTTGGACCAGGCAAAAGTTCATAAATGTTACTCTAGTATTGGTTGAATGTTTTGCAAGGAACTGATTCCTTATTAAAATAAACCAAGTTTTAGTATATAATACTCATCTATTTTACTTATTTCTGCTGGTAAAAAACCTTCAAAGTTATCAAGTCAAATGTTATTTGCAAGAGTTTTTTTAAACAGGTAGAAAAGACCTCCCTTGATGTTCTTTACATCAGGCCTGTGGTTCATTTAGAGTGGTTTTTGGCCCAAAACCATCATAGACTCTTTGTCCTAGATTATGTTTCTCATACTCTCAAAATCGCTCCTTCGATTGGCCTACTAGTTTTGTCAGTTACACTGTTTTGGGGCAGGACCACATACAGGGTGACACAAGGAATAGGGAACAACCTTTATCTTTTTTAATATATACGTTGAAAATTTGAAATTTGGGGAGCTTAAACGAGGCAACTTTTTGAGTTTTTTAGAAGTAAATTGCGTTACCAGTCACTTCCGGTTAAACCGGAAGTGGCCATAACTTTTAATTTCCAGACGGAACACCCCGCATTTTTTGAGTTTTCTGGCATTAGCAGATCATTTTACGTATGATAGGACGATTTTCGAAAGATTTATAACAAAACCAAAAAAAAAAAAAAATGCATTTGGAAATAAAGATTTTTTAAAAGCTTTTGGGTTATTTCTCAGCGGATTTTAAATATGTTCATATCAAAAAATAGGGAAAAAAATCTAGTTTCAAAAAACTGACAGTTCCCGGTGTGGTTACATTTGAAAAAATATGGAATACTTTGAAAACACCTCTTTGTTTAATTTTGATCTGAAATTATGGCGTTCAGTTAGGAAAAAATTGAAGTTACAGATTTTCCTGATACTAAGAATATCCAACTATAAATCAATTTACACCAGTGGCAGCGCCGATTTTTTTTTTCTGCAAATTAATTCAATTTATTTTTTTTTGTTAAAAATTTTCCAAAAATAGTCCTATCATACTTAAAATGATCTCCTGATGCCAGAAAACTTAAAAAATACCAGGTGACCTATTTAAAAATCAGAAGTTATGGCCACTTCCGGGTAAATCGGAAGTGACTGGTAACGCAATTTACTTCTAAAAAACTTAATAAGTTGCCTGGTTTAAGCTCCCCAAATTTTAGATTTTCAACGTATACAGGGTGACTGGTAAGTGGACGTATTCCTTTGAGGAGGTGAAAGCAGAGCCCATTTGCTACCGATTAAACATCATTTACCTCTATACCATTCTCAACGGTTTTTGAGATATTTTTCATTTATATATTTAAGAAATTCACTTTTTTGGGAGGTAAATATTTAAAATTAACGAAATAATAAGGAACATACCTTATTTAGGTAAATGTTAACACCAATATTTGATAACATTTCTATTGTAACACTTGTTATTAAAAACAAATCGAGTAATTTTTTCTTCATATTGGTTACTCTTACAAATAAAACTTATTTATTTAATAATAAAACAAAAGACTAATTCTGAAATAATGTGCCTTATTCTGAAGACAATTATATCGAGAACTTTTATTAATAATTTGTACGTTTGATGTACTATGAAATTTTCGAAATTTTTAAGCATAAAGTAACCATTAGTTTGTACTTGACAAGGAAAGTTAAGTTTA